AATTGTTAATTGTTCAAAGTGGCAGATGCTGTCCCAAAAATTTTTTTATGGAATCTAAGCACTGATTTTAGGTTAAAGATGCAAACGGTTTAAACTGATGAAATCAGACTAATTTGCAAAGGCTGATTTATTTAAACAAAGTATTTAACATTCAATTATTGATATATTTAGTTAAAATTCACTGAGTGTGCAACCACTGTTGAACCTGATGCAAGATCCACAAAGATCTTACATCTCATTGTGGTGATCCACCTCTGGGTAGGGTCCAGCGTGTTACGGTTGTCTTCCCGCTTTTTGAGGATCGGCTTTGTTTTGGCGCAGGGAGCATGGCTTTTTTACATGCATATTTCTACTGATGTTTTTGCTGTTAGATTGAAAGACTTAAAAATTGCTGTAATAAAATCTCTATGCAACGCAGTAAAAAATATAAAGACCATGGAATAGGTTGATTGTTGAAAAACCGGTAATGAGATTGAGACGACAAAGGAGGACTTTTAATAGGATGTATTTCTGACAGGTTTTGCTCATCATCATCTTTGACCACTTCTCCTTTCGGGTCGTGAGGCAGACGCGTCAAACAGTGTTTCCAACGTTCCCGATTTTGTGCCGGAGTCCGAGCTTCAGCAGAAGACAAGCTTGAGTCTGCAACAGACTCCTTCCGTATATTTGCACCAAGTTAGTCTTGGCCATCTCCTGGGTCTTCTTCCGGTCGGTTGGGCAAGAAACAGTTTTCTTATCCTTCCCTTCTGGACGCATTCGCAATACATGCCCAAACCATCGCAGCTGTGACTTTTCAGTCTGAAGAAGTAGCGACTGTACACCAAGGATCTCCCGGATGTCTGTATGCCGGGCCATGTCGAGACGCGTAAAGCCAACGACTCGTTTCAGAAAGCAGTTTTAATCATTCGAAATCTTATTTGTCTTAGTGTCCGGAATGGAATATGACAAAATTCAACCGTTTCCAGCAATTGTGCGGCAAATATGATGCAAAATGGCTTTTACCAAGCGTACTTTGATATAATTGAGGAAGTAATTGCTTGGTTCAGGGTGGTATCATTTCACAAAATGTTTGGTCCCGTGGCATGCAGTTATTGCGTTGTCTGGTCAGTGAACCGGCGCTGTTTGACAGTGTGGTTCCAGATATCGTTGATAAGCGATGATTCGCCAGTTCAGCGAAATTCAGCCTTAAGAAATATGATGCGCCACGGAATATAGTGTAAAGAGGAGTGGAAGAAGTGCAGCAGCTAATACGCATGATTCTGCCTTGACATTCGAACGAACGAGCAACAAAACTCCTACCGTTCCTATAGCATGATTGTCATACAGACAACGTCCTTATGTCATATGCGTAGTGAAATCATTACAGGCTGATAAATCACCATCTCGCATTGCTAATGGTTACCCAGCGTCAGTACTGTAAGATTTGGCAGCGATCAGTTCAGTTTCTGTTGACGCTGTAAATTTTCTTGTCTGAATATGTATGTGATAAATAAATTCCATAATGATTCGATTTTGATTCAAGTAACATGCTATGAAAAGAGGTCTTAACTTTTTATGAATAGTCCTTGCTAAGGAATATTCATTATGTGTAGGTCAACATAGGTCCTTTAAGTCAAGTCTCGTCCCAGTCTTCACATTTTGGCACAACCTGAACCAGACGGCTAAGGAGACTTTGGTAAAAGTTTTTTTGGGTCCATCGCTTACAGCGGATTTATATTTTGTTATGATACCTGATAGAGCATGTCATTTTACAAGATTTTATTGGTAGTGACCAGGAAATCTGACAGACTGTGAGTGTAAATCTCGAAAACTGCACAACGGAGAAGAATATTGCTAAATGTCATATATCATTTGCGTCGTGGAACGTGCGAACATTAAACAAACCGGGACAAACCACGCTAGTTGAAGAAGAAGCTGATTGGATGGGAACACACGCAGCTGCAATACAGGAGACGAACATCTTGGAACAGTTGTTTCGACCGCTGAAATCTACAGCTATTATTGCAAGGGATTATAACAGGAGGTACTACTTTTAGTGGAAATGCAGAAGGGGCCTTTGTACACTGGGGCGTGCTGTCTGACCAAATCATTATTGCAGGGTTAAAGTCCAGGTGCAAGGAAGTTTAAAAAGGAAAATCACGTGAACGTTGTTTGCTCTTATGCTCTGTCAAAGTTGCAGCCGATAGAGTAAGGGGAGAATTTTATGGCGTCGCGAGTCTGTTGCTGCAGCACTGTAGAACACATGATATCTTGATTATTCTTGGCGATTTTAACACTAAAGTGGGAACACCGAATGAGCTTTATCGCTGCGTACAGTCACGAGAGATCAATAATAACAATGAACGGCAACTAGCAGAATTGTGTGAAGTGTGAATTGTGTGATCATCTTGTTTAGAGGATCATGTCTTCCTCACAAATCGTGGCATAAAATCACATGACATCCTCGTCACACATCAGCCGAATAAATGATTGACCATTTTTTCATTGCCGGAAGTTATCGAGCATGCCTAAAAGATGTCGTGGTATAGTAAAGTGCTGAATGCCGCAGGAGCCAAGAGTTTGCTGTACCTAAGCCTGTGATCAAGCTCTGAACGTCAATTCGCGGTGAAAAATTAGTTCAGATCTTGAAGAGGATAAATCTGGTGGTCCAGAGGTTTCTTTAGGATATCGAGTCACCACTGGCCTATGATTCAGACATTTATTTATTATAGACGTGGTATATTGTTAGAAATCTAGAAACATACACAAACTAGCTAACGTAGGAACAGCGGAAAAATAGCTCATATGGAAGCAAAGGCAAAGAAAACCGTTGATAGGGTTAGAAGGTAAACGGTTACTAGAAAAAGCAGGCTCACCACTACTAATAACAGTTAAGCTTCAAGGGAAAAGCGTGGAAAGAAATGAAAAATTTCTTTATAGAAATGTAAGCGCTTTTGTGCAAGATACGGCCTAAAAAGTGGATGATGCGACTCGTAAAAACTATATGAAGACTATGTTCAGGAAAATCCATTGCTATTCCGACAAAGAGAAGCTTCGAGTAACAACCGTTAAGTTAAACGGCGTCTGATCTTATGCAGGTCTTGGAGATGCGGAGAAGACATTTTAAATCGCAGCTTAACCCCTGATTGTGACTGCGAAGCAAAATTTATTGTACGCTGCTATGCCGTTACAAAAGATGGACTGCTGACACTTGAAAAAGAAAGAGTCTTTAAACCAGCTGAAGGACAGTGAAGCTATAGAAATTGATGGAGTACAGGTAGGGCAAATTAAGGAGTCTAAAACAGATGGAGTCCTAGCATTAGTGAATCTTACGATTGCTATGCGGATGTAAGAAATCCCAAATGACTAAACTGAATGTTTTGTGGTACCAATGTTTAAGAAAGGCTGTTGCTCAGATCCAAATGAATATCGTGGAATCAGCCTTCAATCCGTTTCTGTCAAAGTGTTCGTGCATTTTATGGCGAAAAGGATCAGACAGCATCTAGAGAAGATCTTGGTTGAAGAGCAATCCAGATTTAGGACGAGCAGATTGTTTGCACCCGATATTAACAATGATACCGCTAATCGTAAATTAGAGAGGGCATGAATCCAAATTTTTGCAGTATTTATCGATTTTACTAAAGTGTTTGACTCAATCTGACGGGATGCCTTGTAAAAAACTAGTGTTTAGTACGGGATCCATTTAAAGATTATTCGTGTAATTAAAAAGAAAAATGACCTTTAGTCAAGTGCAGTGCCAGTTGAATGCACATTTAGCAAATGGTCTGTACAAAGTTTTGAGTGAGGCAAGGATAAAGAGAATCTCCACTCCTGTTTGCGATGTTTTTTGACTGGGTTATTTAACTTTTTTGAAGGAGCGAAGTGACAACGGCAGGAATGAGCAACATCAGCGTAAACGCTCGTGCATTTGCGGGTGATATCCTATTGCTTATCGTCATCTCAAAAGCTGCGAAATCACCCTTCCTACTTCTGACAAAAACAGATCTTAAATTCTCGGCAAATTTAAAGTGGACGAAGTTAATGGAAATTAGTAGAACCCAAACCATAGATTGGCTGGCCCTTGACAGCGATGTATGATATAATATAAGTGGTAAGTCACAAACGAGAGAAAACAAAATATTCTTTAAGGCCATCTGTTGTTTCGGACGAAGCTCGGTCTGTCTTCAGAATGCAATGAGAATAACAAGTAATGTTTCGGCAACTAGACCAACAATACTTTGACAGAAGATCAGAAGTCCGTTCTCTCCAAAGGTGTGAACTTTGCCCCTGCTCCACAAAGTGCCAGTTCTCGAAATTGCGACATCGATTGATCGAACATATCTGATAAACCACCAGACAGCCATCAGGAGTTTCCCAAATTAGCTGCTGTCGAAGTTCAGAAATTTCAGTTAACTGGATCCAATCAAGAAATTCTGAACATAGTGCTTTAAAACAGTTGGAAAAGGATGACAACATTACCATAATGTAAGTAAATAAAGGAAATTCAACCGTGGTTATGGATGAAGAGAGATATCTTGGTACCTGCGCATAACTATTTAACAACGAATATGGTCTGCTTGATGAAGATCCAATAAAATGGTTGACAAAGTTCCTGAAAATACGTGATTGGAACTAAGGAAAAGAAAAATGAAATGAGAGCTGACCAGTAAAAGCCTATTATGGATGCTTCGCTACAAATGCAGTTGGTCTCTTCCTGAACTGTACTGTTTACCAAAGACCCATAGGCCGACTACTCCTATGGACCTATTGTTGCATCATTATCTTGCATTTCAGCTTTGGTTGCGTGACTTCTTCGCCCCACCATTCACTCGTACACGAGTAAGTTGCAATCATATGTAAAAAATTCAGAGAAGTTCGTTGAAGAGATTGTCCCACGAATGAATGGCAACGAATTAATTACGGTGATCTACGACGTAAAGGGCCTTTTCAACTTCACCAGCATCCCTGTCGAAATTGCAACTGATCAGTCGAAAAGTAACTGACAAAAGACCTACACCTCAGGAACAAAACACTTTTCTCCTTAACTTAGTTCCTCAGGATATGTCTCATTGGTTTTAAATACTTTCAGTTCAATGGCCAATTATATCGTCAGTACAAAGGAGTCTTTACGAGATGGCCTATATCACCTGCTCTGGCTCATGTGTTTATGCAGCGTTTAGAACACTTGGCCTTCATTACGAGTGATAAAGATGCCTATGTATCTTTTACAGACCTTATGTTGATGACATATTTGCCCTCTGGAAAAGTGGAACTGAAACGCCTTTTTTGATGCAACTAAACAGCCTATTCCCAAGGCTGATCGTTTTCACTATGGAGAAGAAAAAACCCTCTTCTTGAGTGTGTTAGTAGGGCACCACGGTGTTTCGCAGGAAGACGCATACTGACAAGTATCTACATCACTCTTCTTATCATTCAGATTGCGTAAAAAAGGTGTTATTAATACAATTCTCAAAAGAGGCCAGAAGATATGAACAACAGGTTATGAATTTTGCCATAAAACTAAATCACACCAGATCGATGCTGAAGAAAACGGCTATCCTATGAAGACTTTTAATGAAGACTTGGCAAGTTTATCAAAACAGAGGGCGTGTCCCCGCTCACCTGATAACCAAACATGTTTCCTTGCCATACGTTCTCCAACGGAGTGAAAAACTGCGATGTATTTGTTCTTCATCTGGACTCATCCTGGTGCAACTTTACAACTAAGCCACGTCAAGACCCAGAAACCTAAGGCGCAGAAAGTCGGTTAGGTGTAATAACTGCCGTGCTCCTGTGGTACGGTTTACATCGGCGAAACGGGTAAAACGGTTTAAGAAAGGAAGGCAGGCCACATAAGGAATCTGATCAGGTGGGATAACGCTGATGCTAGAGAAAGGGGTCAACAGCAAGTCGGCAGAGATCGGAGACAGACGAAAAACCCTGGACTTATAAAGCGAGAATGCAGTAAAAATTCTGCCACTGTGGAACATGCTGTTACCCATCAATTATCGTGGGACAGAATGAAAGGTGTCGCGCGGGAACAGCATCTTTCCCGCAAAGTAAAGGAAGCGTTTTTGATCCGAGCAACCAAGTGCATCAATCGTGACTTTGGAACAGATCTCAGTGACACATGGCCCACAAACATCATACGGCCGCTTAAGAAAAGAAGGCAAACGCAGCACCATTAATCATGCAGGTCAACCACATCAGTATGAAAACATTTATATGTAATTCTCATTGTACTCTGAAGACGGACCGAGTTTGGTCTGAAACTCCAGATGACTCCCATTATGAAATATTTTATGCATGTCTTGCCCTTTGGCTACAGACGGCCAAGTGGCAAATGAAGTAAAAGGGAACTGTTAGCATTAGCAGCCAACAACAAGTTATTCAAACTCTGGAAGGACAAAAAATGTTTGGAAATGGGAATATGCGGATATACAGAGTTTCATCATCATGTTTTCTGCTTTGAACTTTATTATTAAAAGCAGATCTTTCAGCAAAATTTAATATTCTGAATATCTTTCCCCATGGCTTGGAGACGGCATCATTTAACAGCTGGAAACTTGAAGCAACGGAAATGAAGATTGCAAGATCAATGTTAGAAGTGAAGAGGTACGATTTAGTATCTGTTGCTGTTGGTCAGGAGTTAGAACATTAAGCTGAAGTGACCAGTGGCAGTCAACAAGGCATTTGAAATGGTATTGCCATTGCCAACAAATCGGTAATAGCTGCAAATTCGAACGGAAAGCCTGGTGGCAGGCAACCTCCTGGAGAACCTGTAAAATGGATGTGAATATCGTTAGATATGACGTAACATCGAAAGAATCGAAGGCATATTTATTCGATCCATTTGAAATGTTTGTCTGGCACCCAGCGTTTTCTCTGATGCAATTGAATTAAAAGAAGTAGGATAACAAGTGAACTGCTCCATGGAATTGTTATTAAAAAATGAGTTTTTTATGCGGGTTTGCCATCATACGTTTAACTCTGTCAAAACTGGATTTTACGGCGTAGTACACTAGTTACATGCAAATAATTGCCTGGTTTGGCACTGGGGAAGGGGTTAATAGGATGCGGTTGCACGATGTTTGAGCCCTGCCATCCAATGATGCATCTTGCATGATTGTGTTTGCTTAACCGATTCATTATTCACTGTGTGATTTTTCAGGAAGTTCCACTTCTTATATTCTGTGCAGTTAAGATCAAGAATATTGGAGTGCATATTTTAGTTTGATGGAAAGTGCGTAACTCGTCCAAAGTCGGATTGTGAAGCTTACTGCAGCCACTCCTTCTGGTCACGGCCACAAACTTAGGATGCCGTCTAAGGACAGCAAGTTTTTTATGTATGTGGGCAGTTATAATACTATGTGCATCCCGCTAGGTTTTATTAGCTTGAAAAATCTCTTGTTCATCTTCAGCGATGTAAACAATAAATGAGGTACAAAATGTTTTCTTTGCACTCTGGAATTGCATAAACCACAATAGGAATTTGTGTTTGCACAGGTATTAGAGGATATTTTTCATTAAGTCTGCGTATCGTTGTTAACCCATGCCGTTAAATTATGCATGATTTAGCAATCAATCGTGCTGATATGGAGAACGATGAAATGAACCGAATTATTGACAGCATTGTAGATGGACTGTATTCGGTATGTGTTACCCTTTGCTCAGTGCCCATAATTCGTTGCCCAAGAAACAATGCTGCGGAACTAGTCGCCGAAGTAAGCTGATATTCTTTCTTCTATACTCTCTGAGGCGAAATCATCGGGATTGTTTAATGTCGACGTTGTTTTGGCTTAAATAGCTAAGACAAGGTCTATGCATGGAAAGCGGCATTTCAAACATGGATCATATGTTTTATTTTTTTGCTCTGTCTTTCTTATATCCACACAGTAACCACAGGCAGTGATGATATTCAGTAGTCGTCACAACACACTTCGGGCATCGATCGTAGAAAGTTGTTATAGGAAAAGATTGAAATGAGGCTCATTAAGCAAGATAACATTAATGATTCTTTTCAATTTAAATTTACGCTTTACACATTGCAGAAATTTTTTGTGAGATAACAGATCGGTCATGGCGAGTTGCAGCCTTATGGCACACGCGTCAGTCAGCATTGCCTATGACAGACATGCTATGACTTGTTTACACGAGGGCATCGTTCTCCCTTTATTGTTACTAGGCATACGCCTTGCTGCTTTCTTCTTGGTCGGTTGCACTGAAGCGCAGTGGGATGAATTTGTTCGTCCCGGAAATTAATCATTTAGTAAGAAATCTACGCCGTACTGTGGGTTGCTCACTCTGAACTTACGAAATGTTGAGGAAGATTACTCTCCTACTACTTCTTAACAGGTCTATGAATTGTTTTTAATTTAATTTAATTTTTTCATCTGTAGTTGAATCGAAATTCAGCGCCCCACTGTTAACTTCATTAGAAGAAGCGGTCCAGAAATGGCCTTATCGTGAAAGTGTATGGAAGACTACCATTAAAAATATTGCAAACTATATTTTTCTCACCTTTTACAGTGCTCATGATT